AAAAAAAAAAAAAAAAAAAAAATAGCACTTTAATTCCAAGGCTGTTTTATGCTACTGATTATAGTCATTATACTATGAAAAAAGCAATGCTTAGACAGAACTGGTCAGAAGTGGCCTAAGAGTGCATTAAGGGAGAAGAGGTCTAAGTAAATTAGAAGGTACCTCCAGGTGAAGTCAGCCATGTGGAAAGGGGCACATGGATACTAGAGTCCAGAGTCTGGGGGTCAGAATGCCAGGAAGGTTGGTAGAACTAAGTTTTGGTCTGAATTCAGAGGTCACTCTCTCCTTGACGTGTTTTCTGTTTCTTGCTCTAAGTACCTACACCCTAAGGTCCAACGTCTGTTGGAAGATTCCAGGTGAAACGTACTCCTGGATTTCCTCATAAATCTCAGCTGCAGACACACATACACACACACACACACACACACACATGCACACGTACATACCCATGCAAGCATACACACATTTAATTACTTCTCTGGGCCCAATAGGAATGCCTATAGATGGTATAAAGAGGTGTTAGGAATAGCCCAATTTACTTTGACAAAGTTGGAGGCTGACTGTATACAGTGGAAAATTTGGGAAAGTCAGCCCTTTATCTCAGACTCTCATCCCTAGTCCTGTTCAGTCCTCACTGTGGAGCACTTCTCAGGAAGCCTCTGATTTTACTCTTAAGTGAACTGAGTCCACAAGCATGCTGAACTAGCTTTATTCATCTGTTTAAAATATGGGTTACTTCCAGTTATTTTGTATCCTCTGCAATTTAATAGTCTTGTTGAAAATTTGAGAGATTACACTATGTGTGCATTTAAGATTGACACGTTAATTACTTTAAATCCAGAGAGAGAAGGCATCTTGCTCTCTGATGTTTTTTCTTCACTGTTGTGGCAGTTTTAAAAGGAGACGACAATACGCTTTTTGTTAACAGATTTTCTTAGGTTTCAGAGTGCATTCAGGAAGCCTCTTCTGACAATTTAGAAAGAAACTTTTAGCAAATTTGTGACCTTTAACCTTTTTTTGGTTCAACTCTATGTGTTTCATCTTTAACTGTTTCTCTGAGAATGTTTCATTTTGTCTTTGGCTTTAATGCCATCATTTTGTTACGTTTCAATTTGTAACAAATCAAAGGGCCATTAATTAGTTTGGCCCCTAACCATGTATTCTATCAGTAAAATATTGCCACCTTTTTAAAGATTTCTTTTTCTTTACATACATTCTAATACATGTTGTCAAAGGAGAGTTTGTCTGCTCAGCCAGCCTCATTTATACCCCATCTCTAGAGATGTGAACAAATCATACTATTAAAATGGCCCCACCTCAGTAATTTATAAGCCACGTTAGTGGAGGTGGATGAAAGCATTGGCATATGTTAAAGTGCCAGAGAAAAAGGAGTGAAGTCATTTAATACTGCATCCATAACTTGGTTGAGGATTTGAATAGTCAATAGGACCTTTCATCACAACCAGAAGTAGTAGTAAAATCACTTTTTTGGTAGAGGAAATGACAGAATTTAGTAATATTTGTTACTTCAGTATTTGGGATCAGTCCAGCCCGTTTTGAAAGCACAAGCTTAGAAAGACAGGCCTTCAAGTAGAAATCCTCAAGTGTTGTTTGAATTGCTGAGAGGATTGGTATGGCCTGTTTGCCCTCTTCCTGTCATTGCGGTCTAAAGGTATGTGTGTGTGTTCTGTGCTGGGCTTTGAAAGTGAATAAAGCAAAATGTCTTGGTTTTAGTACCATTTAGTAATATTTTTCACGTGTCAGCCCCTTTGTCTGGAAATAGCTTCCTTTGTTGGTTAACGTGTAACCCTGTAGGAACAGGCCTGGCAAAATTCAAGCACAGTATAATCATCATTAGTTAAAAAAAAAAAAACAGGTTCTGGGGCCCCTGGGTGGCTCAGTCAGTTGAGCGTCCAACTCTTCATATCAGCTCAGGTCATGATCCCAGAGTCGTGGGATCAAGCCCTTTGTTGGGCTCCTCGCTGAGTATGGAGCCTGCTTAAGATTCTCTCTGTCCCCCTCTGCCCCTCTCCCCTGTTGCGTGTGCTTTGTCTCTCCCTCTCTCTCTCTTTCTCTCTCTCTTTGTCTCTAAAAATAATAAATAAAATAAAATAAAATAAAATAAAATAAAATAAAATAAAATAAAATACCAGGTTCTGCCATAATTGTCAGTGAGTTTATAAGTACATTGTGTTAGAATTTGTGTATAGCACAGTAGTTTGCTTTCAGTTTCCAGAACATAAACCGTAGTAAATAAAAAAGTTACAATGCTTTTGCCTTAAATTAATGGAGAGTTTTATAGTTTGAAACACACACACACACACACACACACACACACACACCCATATGACCCTCATTATCGCCCTACGAAGTGAAAAGGGCAGCTAATGTTAAATGAGTTTGAAGACCGTATGGCTGTTGACATCTGTCACTCCGGTTAGGATCACATATTCCGACAGGTGTGTCAGAGATTCCCTTACTTCCATATACTTCATTGTTCTGTGTACAGTTGACCCTTAAACAACATGGATGTGAACCATGAGGGTCCACTTATATATGGATTCTTTTCAGTAAGGACAGTAGAATATGCATTAAGCAACTGCTTATGTTATTGGTAAGCCTTCCAGTCGATAGTAGGCTATTAGTAGTTAAGTTTTGGGGAATCAAAAGGTAGATGCATTTTTCAACTGTGTGGGCAGTCAGCATCCCTGACCCCTGCCTTGTTCAGTGGTCAACTGTATTTCCATCCTAAAAGTGCACACAGAATCAAAGAAGGTGACATTCTCAGATAGGAAAGGGACTGAATGTTCATTGAGTAGAGGCAACTGTTTTGCACATTATGATATTTCTATTAGTAAGCCCAATGCTTGAAACACTATAAAGTCTCAAAAGATGTTGAATGAATGAATGAATGCATGGTGATACAGCATCATCACACAGTTAAGAAACTGAGATCCAGAAAAATCATGACTTCCTTAAGATTGATGAATTGATTCAACAAGTATTTTGTCACACTTTTACCGTGTACTGTATATTCTGAGTCTCAACTGAGAGAGCAGTGCATGAGACATACAAGATCCCGGCCTCATAAATAAGCCAGACACAAAAGCACAAATATTGTATGGTTCCACTTACATGAATTATCTGGAATAGGCAAGTGCATGGAGACAGAATGCATAGAGACCAGGAGCGGTGGGTTGGGAGAAGGGGGGAATGGGAGTTATTACTTAGTGGCTACAGTTTCTATTTGGGGTGATGAAAAAATTTTGGATGAAGATGGTGTTGGTAGTTACAGAACATTGTGAATGTAATTATGAGCCTGTGTTATACACCTAAAAATGGTTAAGATGACCCATTTTACTCAATATATTTTACCACAGTTTTAAAAATTAATATATTAAAAACCATTGAATTATATCCTTCAGATGGGTGAATTATATATCACAATAAAGCTATTTTTAAAAAAGAAAGGAACCTACATCATTAAACTTACAAGCTAATGGAAAGAGACAGACAGTAAACAAAATAATTTTAGATTGTGGTTAAGTGCTGTAACCGAAATCAATTAGGCAATATAATGGGAAGTACCTGGAAAGGGACTTGCTCTAGATAATGTTGTCAAATAAGC